CAATTTCTTCTGAGGCCGCAGAATTCTTTCTACGGGGCGCACGTTTATGTTTCTGCGCCTTTTATTGCCTTTTGCTTCGGAACACTCCTTTTTGAGTCGGATTTCATCTCGGGAGACCAAACTTCTTGCATTCCTGCAATTTACACAATTTAAATAGTTTCGGGAACACAATTCAACACTTTCGGACTAAAACAAAAGCTAAAATGTGCTAATAAGCAATCAAAACTCACTTATCATTCACTATAATTGATTGTTTTCCAATGAGCTAGTTTTAGGTATTTTGCTGCATGAACTGCGCGAAAGTCAAATATGTCATCCATAGCCAGTCTTCGGAACCTCGAGACTTTGATAGTCAAACCAATGGGAGGATAATTGATACTGCCATCGCAATTTTCAAGATGGTTAAATCGAGACGTCTGCGTATTTACAGCAAAGCCAATTTCACTTGAAATGTTGCAGAAGAATTACGTGACAACTCAAAAAATTCAATTATCTGGAAGCTCTTTCGTCTCCATGTTTTGACTGTTGGGAGGATGCAAAACTGATGTTGAGAAGAACACCTAATCTTCAGATGTTCATTTGTGTATTGTCATTATCTTGGCCTTGTAATGAATTTTCTAACACGGCTTGAGATGCTTAATATTTCTTCTGGAAGTAATGTACCCAACTTTCCACCAAATCTCAGAAAATTGACCCTGTCCAACTTTACCATGTATCAGCCGACCACAAGCATTGTAATGTGTTTGGAAACTTGCCTATAGTGTATTTGTTTTGACACCTTGTCTAGAGATCAAATCTTAATCAATTTGTACTCATTTGCTGCTTTTGTTTTCCGATTCCTTTAGACAAATGTACACTCATTTATGTTGACAATGAAATGGAAGAATAACAGCTCAAATGAAGATGTTTTCAGCTTTACCAATCACTTGTGGACTAAACATTAAGGGCTCGTTTGGTACGATGGATAAAGAATAATTAATTTCGGGATTAAATTAGAGATGAGTTTATCTCACGTTTGGGTGGGATAAAATCGCGGTATATCTAATTCCGGGAATAGTTATCCCAGGATTGTAGTATTGTTTTAATCCATATGGGAGGGTGCGGTAACAATCCACAGATAATTAAACTTGTGATAACTTATTTTCCAATCAAAGGAACCCAAGTCCTTTTGTCAATACTCAACTGTATATGTGTGCGTGCCACACATACTGACATACACACACATATACATAGGAAGCCTGCATTGCTTAAATTTGGTCTCTACTTAAAGCAGAGCGCAGATAAATTTTAATGACATCCCAAAGTTGTTTGTGATCATATGTAAAATTTAAAGCAGAGAATTGGCAGTTGGAATTAAGTTTTTCCGTAGTGCTTTCTTGTGTTAATAAGTTTGTCTTTTCACCTATCAAAGGGAGAGGAATGAAAACAGTTTCAGTTGTACCATTTGTACGGGCAAAATCTTTATTTTAGGTATTTGACCTAGTCAACTGTAATAAAGCCTTTGATGGTTGTGACGTGTCATGATGACTTTGAAAGGTCGAGGTCGAGCTTGAAGGACGAAATGACGCCGAGGTCGAAATTGACTCAGCAGATGACGAGGACAAGGACGGGTCTCCATTCTTGATGCAAATCGGCGATCAATCTTAGAACTTAGATTCCCGAACGAATATTATGAGAATATTCCCTTTGTTGTACTATCTAGGGTTTCATAGCCTATGTGCCCATATAAATAGGAAAAGATGTAGATAAGAGGGATCATTGGACCTTTTGTAAAGATTTTCATAAACATTCTCTGTGCAAGATTCTCACTTTATTGAATAGCAACAAAGCTTGACTTTACACTTTCCTTCTTTTATCCCTCTCTTCCGATCCAAGGAGGATCGGAATCTACAATTGTTTATCACCATCCATAATTATTAGAGAGACATCTAGGGAACTCATCCTTGTCGGGTTATCTTTGTCTCATCTACTAGTTGAAAGTCATTTATTGTTCTCCTTTATATCTTTAAGTCGTTATTGCTCTATTATTACGCCAAGTTTTCTTCTTTAATGTTATACATGAAATACTCATTATAAACTACTAGATCTATACTTGAATATTAATATTGGCTATAATTAACCCTATTTTTCAACAAATCTAATTATACAAAACTAAAATCTATATTTTGGGTCATACAGTTTGGCGTCGTCTGTGGAGATTTCATGAAATTATTAATTTCCATTCAGACCTTTAATAGTTATAGCTCACTAACCTATTACGTTATAAAGCTATCTCTTTTTCTTTACATACAAAGACTCCATGGCAGGTAACCAGGGAAGAACCAATCAAGGAAAAGGAGTTGGAGCAGCCGACAATACCCCGCTCAATCTGATGAGTGCCATCAACAAAGGATAAGAAACACAGGACGAAGAAATGACTCCTATGCCATCCCCCAGGCTAAGGAAGTCAGCGGTACCCTTCTATAGCAGAATAAAATCCAACGAGAAAGAAACTTCCACGTCTGCAGAGGAAAGAGCACCATACGCCATCAAGACACTCTTAGAGACAGGGCTAACTGATACATTGGTCAGCGTGATGAGTAAGCAAATCCCGTGCATAGTTGTGGAAACCCCAAAGACCCCCGTAACCAAGCATAGGACTGATCGGAACAACCAACTAAACTCTCCGACCTCATGTAACATCCATGAAACTACCGATAACTCAAGTAATGGTGTCCTAGCCTCCGTGTTAAAAAGGATGGTGGAGATAGAGAACAAAAATAGGGCACTCAAGGAATAGATGAAAGAACACTAAGAACGAATAGACCAGATACCAGGTGCCCCCAAATTAATACCCAAACGAGACACCGACGGGTTCGTAGAGCAGTCGTATAAGCAGCCCCTCAAGCCATACCAAAAACCTTCAAAATGCCCGTTCCTCATAATCTATGACGGGACGACTGATCCGGAGGACCATGTGACCCATTACGTCACTGAAGTAAAGGACAATGACCTCACTAAAGAAAAAGTGTCCTCCATCTTGATAAAAATATTCGGTGAAACCCTCACTAGTGGAGCGTTGACTTGGTATTTGCAACTATTGGCCTACTCCATAGAAACATTCGAAGAGATGGCGGACAAGTTCGTAACAGCACATGCCAGAGCGAAGAAGGCTGAAACCAGGGTAAATGACATCTTTGACATCAGAAAATTCCTAGGGGAAGGGCTGAGGGACTTCCTAGCCTGGTTCAATAGGGTAAGGATGACCTTACCAAATGTCTCTGAAAAGATGGCCATAACAGCCTTCCAAAATGGGCTAAACAGAGAAGGATCGAGAGCAACTAGAAAGCTACTAAGCTGATTGATGAAATACCCATCGTCCACCTGGGACGAGATCCATAATGCCTATTGCACGAAGGTTAGGGCACACAATGAAGATCTCAATGCGCTGAGCCGATGAATTGCCTCAGTGCAGTCCGAACCCAAGAGGGAACGAAGAGATAATACGAGGAGGGTCCTCCAATGCTGCAGCCTGGAAGAGATTAGCATCAACCCTATACCAGACCTACCATTTACTATTTTCACCGTGAAAGTGGTCCCTCTAGGCCAAGATCAAACATCCTCAGAAGTGACTGAAGTATGGTTCCTTCACTGTCTGCTCATAATTATCATGTGTCACCTACAGATATGGTATATGCACTTGAGAAACTTGGACTGAAGGTGAAGTGGCCATCGAGAATGAGGTCCGACCCAAACATGAGAAAATTGGACGCCTTTTGTGAGTTCCACCAGGACCGAGGGCACAAGACCAAGGATTGCCATGCCTTGAGCCTAGAAGTAGTGACTCTGGTACAACAAGTCCACCTCAAAGGATTTCTTAGTGACAAATTCAAGAACACCTTAGCAAGGGGACGAGAACGCCCAGGCCCGCCAAAGCTGTCGTCTCCCGCCCGTACCATCAACATGATTATCGGAGCCAGCAAAGACACCTCCATCAATGGCATCAGGTTCACCGCCACCCACAAACTCAAGAGATAGATCACCCACAAACAGTATGACGACCTCAAAGAAAGTATCATCTTTGATGAGTCGGATGTCGACAATTTGGCTTTCTCTCACAATGATGCACTCGTTATTACTTTACACATTCTTGATACTGATGTTAGAAGAATTATGATTGACAAAAAAATTGGAGCGTGCATTATCCATCCTCGAGTCCTCGCACAGATACGACTCGAGGATAAGATAGTGTTGCGCTGCATCACACTAATAAGTTTTAACAATGCAGTTGAACGGATTTAGGGCGAGATCATCCTCCCCGTTCTTGCCAGTGGTGTGATGCTGGAGACCACATTCCACATCATGGATCAAGACACGACGTACAATGCTATCATGTGTGGGCCATAGACACACCCTATGACTGCAATCCCTTCCAGCTTGTACCAAGTAATTAAGTTCCCAGCCCCTTGGGGAATATTCAACATACGGGGAGAATAACGCACATCTATGTAATGCTATCGGATCGCCCTGGATAGTACGATTACTCAACAAAAGAAAAAAAAGGAAAAATAAGCATATTAGTCAGCAGGGCAGAGGACCCTTCAGGTCGAAGCCAAAGACACCATTACAGATCCTGAAATTGTTGAGGTCGCCTGATCGACCATAGAGGAACTCGAGCCCATCCAGTTAGATCCAAGAGACCCTAGCAAAAAGGCCTACATAGGCTGCAAGCTCAAGGATCTAGGTAAGTTCAGCCAATTCTTAATAACTAACGCAAACCTTTTTGCTTTCAACCATGCAGATATGCCAGGTATCCCCAAAGAGAGAGCTATGAAAAAAATGAACGTCGACCCCTACTACCCTCAAATAAGGAAATTCCGATGAAAGTGCAACCCCGCCATCAACGAGGCCGTCCATGAAGAAGTGGAAAAACTCCTGCTAAACGGCTCTATCAAGTAGTCGAAGTACCACAAGTGGATCGCAAACATAGTAATGGTTAAAAGAAGAATGGGAAGTGGAGGATGTGCGTGGACTTCATCGATCTGAACAAAGTCTGGCTGAAGGATTCATTCCCACTGCCGCATATTGACCAGCTCATCGATGCCACGGCAGGACAAGAGTTATTGAGCTTCCTGGACACATACTCAGGCTACCACCAGATACTTATGGATGAGGACGATCAGGAGAAAACCACGTTCATCACTCACAGGGGGACGTACAACTATAGGGTCATGCCATTCGGGTTAAAGAACGTAGGGGCCACATACCAAAGACTGGTCAAACAAATGTTCAAAAAACAACTCGACAATACTGTGGAAGTATACATCGATGATATGTTAGTCAAGTCCTTGAGGGATGAGGATCACATCGACCATATGAAGGAAGCATTAGAAATATTAAGGAAGTATGGGATGAAATTGAACCCCGAGAAATGCGCGTTTAGAGTAACTTCAGGCAAATGTTTGGGTTTCCAGGTGTCACAGCGCAGAATCAGGGTCAACCAAGATGCAATTAAGGCCATCAACGAGATATCAGAACACTTAACTACCAAAAACAAGTCCAACGACTGATGGGTCGAATCGCCGCCCTTTCCAGATTTATCTCGAGGTCATCCAACAGATGCCACAAATTCTTTAACCTACACAAAAAAGATAACAGCCTCGAGTAGATGCCCGAGTGCAAACAAGTGCTAAAGAAGCTCAAGGAATACCTGTCATCACCACCCCTACTCTCAAATCCTGAGCCCGGAGAGCGTCTCTTTATCTACCTCGCCATTTCAGAGGTAGCGGTAAGTGCGGTCCTGGTTCGAAAAGACAAAGGGACACAATCTCTAATTTATTATATTATTAAGACACTTATCGATATCGAGATGAGGTATCTTCACCTTGAGAAACTGGCCCTAACCCCTGTCATAACTTCAAAAAAGCTTAGGTCATACTTACAATGCCATCCAATCTCGGTCGTCACCGCGTTTCCTTTAAGGAACATACTGCATAAACCCGAACTGTCGGGGAGGCTGTCCAAATGGGAAATAGAGCTAAGTGAGCACGACATCACTTACCGACATCTCACGGTCATAAGATCACAAGTGCATGCCAACTTCGTCGCGGACTTTAGTGCCAAGGTAATGACTGAGGCCGAAATGGAAGCCACACAAGTTTCTGGCCTAACGTATGACCTCTATGGTTTGTACACCGACGACGCGTCCAATGCATATGTGTCCAGACTGGGACTCGTGCTCGAGGTCCCCACCGGCGAATTTGTATGTCAATCTATAAGGTGCCTGGATATGACTAACAATAAGGGCGAGTATGAGGCAGTAATTGCAGGGTTGAGGTTAGCACTCGAATATAGGGCGAGGCACTTAAGTGTACGCTGCAACTCCCAACTTGTAGTCAACCATGTTATTGGTACTTTCCAGATCAAAAAGCAGAGGTTATAGAAATACCAGACTGAGATCTGCAAACTGTTACCTAGATTTGATGAATGTCAGCTCGACTAGATTCCATAAACCCATAACATCGAGGTGGACTTCCTCGCAAAATTGGCTGTCACAACAAAAAGCATAGCACCTGGTTGAGGATCACATCGACCGTACGAATGAAACATTAGAACAATTAACTACCAAAAATAAGTGCGACGACTGACGGGTCGAATTTTCTCCCTTTCGAAATTTATCTCGAGGTCTTCCGACAGATGCCACAAATTCTTCAACATACTAAAAAAGGATAGCAGCCTCGAGTGGACGCCCGAGTGCAACAAGCGTTGAAGAAGCTCAAGGAATACCTGTCATCACCACCCATACTCTCAAAGCCTAAGCCCGTAGAATGTCTCCTCGTCTACCTTGCCGTTTCATAGGTAGCGGTAAGTGCGCTCCTGGTTCGAGAAGACAAAGTACGCAATGTCCAATTTATTATATCATTAAGACACTTGTTGACGTCGAGATGTGGTATCTTTACCTTGAGAAACTGGTCGTGACCCTTGTCATAACTTCAAGAAAGCCCCGGCCATACTTCCAATGCCATCCAATCTCGGTCGTCACCACATTTCCCTTTAGGAACATACTGCACAAACCCGAACTGTTGGGGAGGCTGGCCAAATGAGCAATATACCTAAGTAAGCATGACGTCACTTACCGGCCTCGCACGGCCATAAAATCCCAAGTGCTCGCCAACTTCGTTGGACTTTAGTGCCAAGGTAATGCCCAAGTCCAAAAAGGAAGCCACGCAACCTTCCGGCCTAACGCAAGACCTCTATATTTTTCACACCGACGGCGTGTCCAATGCATGTGAGTTCGGAGTGGCACTTTTGCTCTAGGTCCCCACTGAAAAAGTCGTACGCCAATCTATAAGGTGCCCGGATATATGATGGTAGGCTATAATTGCGTGTTTTAGTTTCTTATCGCACTCTAATCTACTGTACTTGAATTGAGTTGAGCTTTCAATCGCTAGTATTTTGCACTAATTGTGTGTTTAATGCCTTATAGGAGTGATTCCGAGTTATGTATATATTGTGGAACTAATTCTAGTTATTTGAAGCTTTGAAGTCTGAGCAAAATCCCAAAGGAATAAGTCGGGATCGTGTTCGTGGGTCAAGGATCACTCTTGGACGTCAAAATTCAAGGAAGAATCAACTGTTGAAGATTTACACTAGTGCGACACACTGTGTGACGCAGCAGTGTAAATTTATGTCAGAAATATGTAAAGTTCAGAGGCTACCCAGGTGCGTGAGCGTGCACTGGGCGCACAAGTTAGGTAGTGTTCTGGCCAAAGTGCGTGGCCATATGCGCAAGCATACTCCTAGGTGCGTAGCCGCACACGTTCAACTCCGGAAAGAGTCCTATTTCGGGAAGGAGAAGGTGTGTTTGTTTGGCCTGACTCTACTTTGTATATATACATGGAAAAATAGTAATTTTTGGACTTTTGACACATCTAAGACCTAATGAGGCTAAGGAGAAGTTGGAGAAGCAAGAGCACAAAGATTTCATCATTCAATCCTCACTCAAGACAAGGGTTTGGATTGTTTTATATTTTCCTTTAACTTAAACTAATCTATGATGAATTACTCCATATTTATGGAGTAGCTCTATTTAGGGATTGATTGAATTGGTGTATTTATATTTGTTTGTGGATATTAACTCTAGTTTTTATGTATTGAATTGTTTTGGGTGTTTTAATTGTTGCATCTATATTCACATGTTCATATAATCGAAATAGACATAACTTGTGATGTTTTTGCATCATATTGTTGGTTGAATTCATTGATTCTTTTTATTAATCGAAAGAGGCTAGTTGAATTATTGTTTAGATATAGTTAGGAGGATAATCAAAAAAGGTTCTTCTAAAGACCAATCCACTGTCAATTCTTGCATATCTTCACCGAGCATAAATTGGTTCTTATTGTGAGGTTGAGACTTAATCGAGAGAGGAATTTCTACTGCTCACTTGAACCTTAGAAGCGAATTAGCGAGAGTTAAATCCCAAAAAATTATCTTGCACCTATACAATAAACCCCTATTTTCTCCCATTGATATCTTCTTTGCTTACTCTTGTTGCGATTGTCATTAGCCAATAGTTTAGACTTTTAGTTAATTTTAGTTTTAAATCACACAAATCTAAATTTTTGATCATCTTGGATAGTAATTAAATTAGAAGCTACGAAAATACTATTTAAATCCAATCCATGTGGATACAATATAATATTATACTATACTCGTCAATTTTGGCGTCGTTGCCGGGGATTGTCAATCAATAGTATTGGAAATAGTTTATAGTGCTAATTCAGGAATTTGTATTTTTATTTTATTTTCTCTTTTTACGTTTGGTGTTCCTTGACTGTGCGCAGGCTACATGTTAGATTAGTGTATGACTCGATCCTCTGGGAAGGAAGTGCTATCTTACGAACTAGAAATCGAGAAACAACTTCGACAATTGAGGAAGGAAATAAATCTTTACGAGAATACATAGAAGGTTGGGCAATCCTCAACCAAGAAAATTATGACCGGAGATGATGATAATGTTGATTTGGCTGCAAGAGAGGCAGCCCAGCAAAGACAAAAAGTTGCAAGGGATGCTGAGGAAACAGCTCTTCGAAATGCACAACTTGTCTATGAAGAGGAGAGGGCTCAGAGAATTGCTCATAATCAACCCGTGGGTTCAGACCAATTTGGAAATATAGCTCACAGTGCTGGGAGACCATTTGGCGATTATGTTAGACCGGTCTACAACCAAGGCTTATCAAGTGTGAGACCATCTCCAGTTGCAGCTAACAATTTTGAGTTAAAGTAGGGGTTGCTTCAAACCCTTCAAAACTATTATGTCTTTAGAGGAAAGATGAATGAAGATCCAAATAATCATATGATGTACTTCGAGGAGATTATGAACACCTTTCAATATAATGGTGTGTCACAAGATGCAGTTTATTCAAGGGCATTCCCATTTACTCTCAAAGATGATGCAAAACACTAGCTTCGAAGCTTGCCTAATGGATTGATTAGAACATGAGATGAGATGACCAAAAAATTTCTTGATAAATATTTCTCATCAGCTAAGACGGGCAAGTTTAGAAGAGAAATTCATAAGTTTTGCCAGAACGAGACTGAATTGTATTTGAAGCTTGGGAGGGGTTTAAGGAGATAGACTGAAAGTGTCAACATAGCGGAATTGAAATCTGGATGCAACTCCAGGAGTTTCGGGATGGATTGACACCAGCTCACGTAGAACATTGAGCAATGCAGTTGGAGGCCCGTTGATGAAAAAGACTCCAGAGGAGATAGTCACAATTCTAGATGAGTTATCTGAGGATGCAAATCAGTGTCCCTCTGAAATTGCTGAAAAAAGAAGATCACTTGGTGTTCACCAAGTTGACGCTAACATATCAGTGCAGGTACAGCTTGATTCCATGGCCAAGGAAATAAGGAAGTTGACCTTAGCTTCAACACATAGTGAGCCTCATGCAGCATGCGACATATGTGGAAGAAGACACCCTACTCACGAGTGTCAAGCCTCAATCGAGGAAGTTAATATTGTTGGGAATTATAACTTCAATGAAATAGGTCAGAAGCACCCTGGTTTTTTATGGAGTTCACCTGGGAGTACCGCAAATACATGGCAACAAAACAATCCGAGATTTCAAGGACAAGGAGCTCCTGGTTTTGTGAATTAGCAGAGGCCGCAGTTCCAGCCTCAATATTCCAATCAGCCTGGGCTTGAAGATATAATGAATTCCTTCATTGTCAAGATAGATGAATGATTAGATGCTCATGGTTCAGCTATCAAAAACCTTGGCATTGGTTTGCGAAACTTGGAGAAGCAAGTGGGGAAAATTGCAACTGTACTATCTGAGAGAATCCCAAGTACTCTACCAGCAGATACTGAGAGGAATCCCAAAGAAACGGTAAATGTTGTGACCTTGAGAAGCAGACGAGTGTTGAAAGATCCTATTCCGATCCAAAAAGAGAGTGTACCTGAAACGAAAATTGGGAAGCAACTGAAAAATGAAGTTGATAAGAAGAAAAAAGCAAGAAGGGAGCTGAGAAAAAAGAAGAAGGAGGAAAATTCAAGAAAGGAGG